TTATCAGAAATGTGATGGAATGAGAGAAATTGCCTTTTTTCAAATTAACATAACTTTGATTGTTCTTCTCAATATGAGTTCTCAAACACATCAGTCTGTTTATCTCATATGTAACCAATTTAAAACAGACAAGGGATGGATCTTGTTTGGCGTGGTGATGTAATTAAAGACTTTCTCAGTGTAAAGATGTATATTTGTTACCTATTTAGCCATCATATGATACCGAGTGTTAGGACATTCAATGTTCTGGAGATATCTATTGAAGCCTAATTTCCTGGGGTTAGAGAAACATTACATATGAAAGATTCTTTCTTAAAAGTCTTTGTGTGCTTGAGGAAAATAGACCTGAGTGGGTTTCATAACCTCATAATAGAAATAAAAATGAAAGTTACATTGTAATAAGCAGCTTGTGCCAAACTATCAAACAGATATTCCCAGTTTCTCCAAATCTGGGATTGAGGAGTTCTAGACAGTAAATGTTCTACAGAATGAATAGTCACAGTAAGGACCCCAGACGTAATGTAATGTTGGCTAAGGTATTGTAGGTACATCAGCTTTTAGACAAAATTTATCATCCTTATTACTAAACGTAATGTGTAGCCATGAGTTTGAAATGAAGCCTATTTTGAAATGATATTGATGTGCAGTTACGTTGGCACTGTGTTTGGTATGTACATCCCAAAATAACACTACAATGTATGCGGATCAATGTTACGAAAATTCAAATTCTAATCATAATTGATATTAGTTAAAGTCTTTATCTGTAATGACTTTCTAATCAATGAACCGACTCTGGAGTTCCATACTAATTGGAGGTCGCCGCATCAGTTCGTTAACCTTTCATCTTTACTACAGATATTACGTAAGTGATCAGTGTTCAGCCCTTGTCATTTCATGGTTGTGAGTTATAGTGTGATCATTGTCTATCTCTCTCGCAGTTTGTCTTAATTTGGTTTCCACTCATTAACTGTTGATTGGGTACAGATATAGAAATTTTATATGTAGTTGTATGATCATGATACGCAGGTCAAGTTTGATTTGGTAAGGGTCAATCAGTTTAACCTGTCATTAAACTTTATAGATTATGGAAATACTTTTACAAAAATTATAGGACCAATAGTGGAAAACTTTGTCTTTCAGATCTAAAAGACTTTTGAAAACTTATCACAGAAGCTGTTAAGTTTTGAGATGGAATGCCAACACTGATGCATGGGGAACAACACTAGCTCACAGATACTATTTACCATTAACCATCTGAATTTTGAATTTCTTTTTCTAAAAGAATTCAATATCAGGGTACCAGTACAGATGGTTCCACCCCAGGAAGGGAATTTGTCAGTGAGACAATGCCTAGTGATAGAAATAGACATGGAGGTGGAGAATCTGTTACTAACCAATCAAATATCCTGTTCTAACATTTGATAAAGTTTGTCACTATGACTGTGGTTCAAGCTGTATTGAGTTTATGATATGTTATTAAATTCTGTATAGGGCTTCACACTTAATACAGTGATCTCCTAGTCACAATGATCCCTGTAGCCTCCCAGCCTGTTATTAACAGATTTAGATGCAGAATGAGCTGTGGAGTAACCAAAGGTGCTGAGACTTGTTATCACAATCTGTACACAAACACCTGGGGTAAAACATGGCAGAACAATGACCAGTAGCGCTGATTAATAGTATATTATCTGTACTTTACATTAGTGTATTTAGTTAGAGAGGGAAACAAAAACCCTTTACATACCAATTCACCGAAGTACATTAAAAAGTCAATTTTCAAATTGTCAATATTCATCTCCCATTGTCTCTTCATTTAGCAGGTTGGCTAGAAGAGTCTATCACTAGATATGTTAAATTAGAGCTATAAGGATGTATATTATATGTTGATGAAATGCCATGCCTACCGAGAAACAATATTAAAAGGGACTAAAAGCTCCGGATATAGCATTTTTCCATTATCATCTTCAATTGTAGACATATCAGTTTTATTGAAGTCAGTACTCTGAGGCATTGTCACTGGTTCTTTCTTAAGGATCACCATTTTTTCTGTCCTAGCACAGGATGGGGATACAGCCATAGTGTAGACAGTGTTTAATGTGTGGGATTCCATTGTGTGTAGTTATTCAATATATATGATTTTCAATTTTTCAATTGAAGATTTTTGATACACGGAGGATAATCAAAATATGGAGGATTGTAAATGTATGGAGGGTATTCAGTGTATGGAGGATATTCTGTGGAGGATATTTAATGTTTAAAAGGTATTAAATGTATGGAGGTTTCCATTGTATGGAAGGTGTTGAATGTATGGAGGTTTCCATTGTATGGAAGGTGTTGAATGTATGGAGGTTTCCATTGTATGGAAGGTGTTGAATGTATGGAGGTTTCCATTGTATGGAAGGTGTTGAATGTATGTACTGATATATTTATAATGTTTAGAAGATGTTCAGATTTGTTCATTGTTAGATGGGGATTTTTGATTTGTATTTTTATTAACTTTGGTCATCATCCTTTGTCAGCCAACATCTGACACAGTCTGAAAAATCATGATGGCAGCTCTTTATGAAATGTCCATAATTCTCATCCGTTGCTGGCAGAGGTGTTCGGGTTACACTGACTTGTTAAAGTTTTATGTAACTTCTACCATCGATCACAGTGCTTAACATCTGTAAATCCTGGTCTGGGGGTAATACAGAAGGTAGACATATCACTTCAGCTATTCCATTCTTACATTCTGTGAGAGGTTTCATTGACAGATAAGATGTAATGAATGGTAATGGAAGAAACATATGTTAATTTGGTAATATGTTCAGACTTGAGGAGCTCAAACTGTAAGCAACACTTTGCGTTAATCCTGTGTTATAAATCAGATACATAATTTAGTTACCTTCTATGACTGAAGTCTCTATTTCTCCTTGGAAAATAGATTTCAGGATCTAATTAACCTTATCAGTCATGCTACAACTTGGTAATAAATTACAGCCTTAATTATATTTCATTTGGTACAGTGTCTATGATGTCATTGTTAACGGTTTTCCCCACACCTAATGATACATCCTTTGTATGTGTCAACTACACTAACATTGTGTTAACATGGACAGTAATTTGTACTACTGTCTGTTGTAGACACAAGCATTGTTAATGGTCTGGGCTTTGTTTTTCTTGAGAGAGGAGTATGCATAATTTGACAGTTGTCTTATTTAGAGCAAAGTACAGTCAAACCTGTTTTAAAGGCCACCTTTATACAAAAGTACCTGTCTATAAAGGCCATATTTTGTTTTCCCTATGTAAAGCAGTTCATAGTAATTGAACCTCAACATAAAGACCACCTATGTATAGAGGTCACATTTTTCTGTTCATTTAAGTGGACTCTATAGTAAGGTTTGAATGTATTGTCCATTAACAGAATCACCTTTGTTATTGTAATAAACAAATTGAATTCTTGATAAAAGATTCCAGCTGTTACTACAGATGATGTGCTGTATGGTGTTGGTTTTGGGGATTTTCTATAATTATGTCTGCCTCTTCAGTCTGACTCCGTGTGATTGCCTTTGCGCACACCTATCACAACAACTTAAGGCATTGTTTGACATCCTACTTAATACTTGGCACACATTATACTATGGTGTTGATTTATTGGTGCTATTAACTAGTTTCTGCAAAATTTCATGCTGATTATGAAAAAGTCAAGGATATTGAGGCATATGCTTTCATCAAGTATAATGAGCCTCCAATATTGGGTTATTTTTGGTTTGTACTGAAAATATCTGCTGTATTCAATACAGCCTTTGTTTCCTCAGTTTGACTGTGGTTAACTTTTGATATTACAAAAGGTTGTAAGTATAATAATATATGTAACAAGTCTGATGTTCAGGTTTCAAGGTTAAACTTAAATTACTATTTATAGAAATGTCTTCATCATTCACAGAACTTCCTTTCTTAATTTACTGTGATCAAACTTCAGGCAAGTTTATACATGGTAACATTTTAACAACTTCATTTTCAAGTTTTCATGAAAAAAGGTCATCATTGCTATTTATGAAAATTTCAAGCACTCTGGTTACTTAATTTCTGAAATGGTAAGTTGTGAGATTACCTCTAGTGCTGTCGTTAATGCCATTACTATTTTATTGGGATGTTGAAAGGATTCTTATTTAAAGCTTCTAAGGTCAAGGTCACTGCTAATATCTATTGATAGCTCAGTGTTAATGCACTAGTTTGACTTACTGTTTATAGAAATTTGGAGGAAAAATTGTTCAAAATTTTATGAGAGTTTTGGCTTTCATTTTTTTCTTAATCATAGAACTACTTAAATAGTATACTTTGTAATAAAACATTTATTTCATGGCTTTTTTGGGCACAATTAAAACTGTTTGTCCCTCAGTAGGGTTGAAGACCTATGGAATAATTCCCTTGGTGACCAGTTTAAGCTACTCTCCCTCAGTAGTGACTGGAAGTCCCAGGGGATAATTTCCAGGTCCTATGATCATCCATTCATGGCTTGTAAATAAACAAAAATAGACCGTATACATAATTTATAATGATATGCTGATCATTTAAGACAACATGGTATACCAGGCAATATATTTACATGTTATATGCAGGTAGACCTATATATACCTAGACTACATTACATACCTTGTTTTATTTGGGTTGCCTATGTGTCTTATATAAATTGATTTAGCAAATTTAGCCAGCTTCCTCCGGTTACCTTCAGGTTTATGGTGAGATCAATGTTTTACATGAACTTAACCTCCCTCTACATTTTGTGTGCACATAGGTAGAATTATGTCAAAATCTGTTTGTCTTTATACAACATATATGATGTACATTATATATGTCTATATATAAACATATAAACTGCCCATATGTAAAATATACTGATATGTAGATTTATGTCAACATATAGTATATATGTATACATATTTTAATTTGTATAAACCTAGTATATTAGTTTGTCATATATTCCTAATCTATTTTATTTTGCTGCTGACAGCTGACCAGCTCGCATTGTTTGCCATGGGCTGTACCAGGTAGGCCTAGCTGTTGTAATCTGTAGTATAGAATATTCTGTAGCTCCTGCATGGTGTGGTCCTTATAGTAATTCAGTGTTGTAGTAGTTAAAGCTCAGAGTGTCTATAGATATATATATGTGCTTTCTATTATCTTTTGAAATATAAAGATACACAGAAACATCATAATATGTACATATTTTATACAGAATACCATACAACATACACTTAGTAACAGAATAATTTGGAATAGTGAATATGTATACATACTTACATCATGAAAGACAATTCTCACAATCCTGTATAAATCATGAAAAATAATACTCAAAACCCGGCATCTATTATAAATGTAAATACTCAAAACCCTGTATAAATCATGAAAGTTGATACTCAAAACCCTGTATTAATCATGAAAGTAAATACTCAAAACCCTGTATAAATCATGAAAGTTGATACTCAAAACCCTGTATTAATCATGAAAGTAAATACTCAAAACCCTGTATAAATCATGAAAGTTGGTACTCACAACCCTGTATAAATCATGAAAGTTGATACTCAAAACCCTGTATAAATCATGAAAGTAAATACTCAAAACCCTGTATAAATCATGAAAGTTGATACTCACAACCCTGTATAAATCATGAAAGTTGGTACTCACAACACAACAATGAAACCAAGGAGGCTTCCAAGATCGTTCAAAGATTCATATAAAGGCAAAGTGTGAAAATCCCCATGGCAATTGCTTAAACTTTGTGCTGATAATCATATTATCATTTCATGTGAATTGCATAAGCATCGAAATGTTAAAAGTACTAAATGGTTAAATATTCCTATCATAACTCATAAAAAGCATTATAACCTTTAAATATCTGTGAAAAATAAAATATAATTATCGTTCGAAGCGTGTAAACAATGTCTATTGTGCATGTAATTTTAGATTCAGATTAATTCAAATATGTTCATTCCGCTCTGTCACATTGTATAGCTTGAAACAAGAGGTCATTTTACAAAGGAAGAATTGAAAATCGCCTGGCAAATTAAGTTTTGGCAAATTACATAATTATACAGAGTAAGAAATCATATCAAAACGGCGGGTAAAACGAGGCTCCGAAAGGTCATACAGTCAACTCAGCTATCTCCGACTGGCGTTAATTTGAAGCTGATAATCATAAGCAATTTCTCTCAGAAATTGTGAAGAGTCTAATTTTAAGTATCGCAAAGCATGCCAAAAATCAAATGCATGGGAAAAATAACAAAATCTAACCATTTAGTCCCTTCAATCGTATGGTTTTGTCTTGTGTAGGAGTATGCTAGATTAATGACCAATTTAAGCTTTTGTCTGAACAAATCAAGAAAGTTTCTACATAAAAGTTAATTTAAATCATGACATGTTGTCTTCAAAACTCTGTAGAAATCATGACAGATTATACTCCAAAACATGTATAAATCATGACAGGTTATTCTCAAAACTTTATAGAAGTCATGACAGATTAAACTGAAAACTCCATATAAATCATGACAGTTTGTACTGAAATATTAATATAAATCACGACATTTTATACATAAAACTGTAAACCGTAACAGGTTATACTCAAAACCCTGTATAAATCACGACAGTTTCTGCATAAAACTGTAAACCGTAACAGGTTATACTCAAAACCCTGTATAAATCATGACAGTTTTTAGCTCACCAAAGGGTCAAGTGAGCTTATGCTGTGGCACAGCATCTGTTGTCCGTCGTCCGCCATCAACTTTTTCCTTTAAATAACTTTTTCTCAATAACCAATGAACCAAATGTTTTGATCTTTGGCTAGTATGTTCCTAGGATGAATCCGACAAAGTTTCCGAAAAAGTAATGACTTTGACCTGTTTTCAAGGTCACAGGGTAAAATTTGTTAAAACCTTTAAACAACTTCTTCTCATGATCTCACAGACTTAGAGACATAATATTTGGCTGGTATGTTCCTAGGGTGAAGCCTGACGAAGTTTACGAAAAGAAATAACCTTGACTTATGATCAAGGTCACAGGGGTCAAATTTGTAAAACCATTTAAACAACTTCTACTCATGAACTAATAGGCCTAGAAGCATGATATTTGGCTGATATATATATAAATATATATACCAGGTGAGCACTGCAAGCCCATTGGGCCTCTTGTTTTATACTCAAAACCCTGTATAAATCATTACAATCAATACTCCAAACTCAAGACAAGTTTATACTCAAAACTTGTTATATATCATGACAGGTTGTACTCAAAACCCTTCTATAAATCATGAAAGTTTATACATAAAACTCAATATGAATAAATATAATTTGTATGCAATTCTCTGCATCAATATGGCAGTTCCACATATTCAAATCACGTTATAACTCATGAAACTCATTGTAAACCTTGTGACAGTTTATACCAAATATCCTGTGCAATTCATATAAGTGAAAACTTGTCATTCTGTATACATCCATCATGAAATGGAATGATAAATCAATTATGCTATGACATTTCCATAACATGTCCAGGTGCTACACAGATCTTTGCAAACTGAAAAAAATGGCTCTGTTCTCATGATCAAGTGACCATTATATTGTCTCATGTGACCTAGCTATTGTCTCAGATGATCTTTTGTCTTGGATGGCCTATTGTCTCAGATGACCTATATATTGTCTCAGATGACCTATTGTCTGAGGTGACCTATATTTTGTCGCAGATGATCTTTTGTCTCGGATGACCTAAAGTCTGAGGTGAACTTTACATTGTCTCAAATGACCTACTGTCTGAGGTAAACTTTACATTGTCTCAAATGACCTATTGTCTGAGGTGACCTATATATTTTCTCATATGATCTTTTTTTTTTCAGATTACCTATTGTCTCAGATTATACCTATATATTGTCTCAGATTATCTTTTGTTTCTGATGACCTATTGTCTGAGGTGACCTATATATTGTCTCAGATGATCTTTTGTTTTTGATGACCTATTGTCTGAGGTGACCTATATATTGTCTCAGATGACCTATATATTGTCTCAGATGATCTTTTGTCTTGGATGGCCTATTGTCTCAGATGACCTATATATTGTCTCAGATGACCTATATATTGTCTCAGATGATCTTTTGTCTTGGATGGCCTATTGTCTCAGATGACCTATATATTGTCTCAGATGACCTATATATTGTCTCAGATGACCTATTGTCTGAGGTGACCTATATTTTGTCGCAGATGATCTTTTGTCTCGGATGACCTAAAGTCTGAGGTGAACTTTACATTGTCTCAAATGACCTACTGTCTGAGGTAAACTTTACATTGTCTCAAATGACCTATTGTCTGAGGTGACCTATATATTTTCTCATATGATCTTTTTTTTTTCAGATTACCTATTGTCTCAGATTACCTATATATTGTCTCAGATTATCTTTTGTTTCTGATGACCTATTGTCTGAGGTGACCTATATATTGTCTCAGATGATCTTTTGTTTTTGATGACCTATTGTCTGAGGTGACCTATATATTGTCTCAGATGATCTTTTGTTTTTGATGACCTATTGTCTGAGGTGACCTATATATTGTCTCAGATGATCTTTTGTTTTTGATGACCTATTGTCTGAGGTGACCTATATATTGTCTCAGATGACCTATTGTCTGAGATGACCTATATATTGTCTGAGATGATCTATTTCTCAGATTACCTATTGTTTCAAAACTTTGGGGACTTACAGTCCACTAGTAATGTCTACCGTATGCATTCTCAAAGATTGTACAAAAGACAGACAAGGAAACAGCACCATTGAATTCAAAATTAGATAAAATACAGTAGAGGGATTACAGTCAAAATGAAGTCTTATTAGAAAGAGATTGGATCAAAAAGAAATGTTAACAGCACATGTGCATTATTTGCATTACATAGACCATATCTAGTGGAAAAAACAATGTTTCAAGAAAGCATGATATTAACCAAAAATGAAATAAATAGACATATGATATAAAAAGACATAAAATATTCACATACAAATGACATTAACATACAAATAATACTAATAGACAGATGATTTTAACAGACATATGATATCAATATACTAATGACATGAACAGACAGATGATATTTACATACAAATAATATGAATAGACAGATGGTATTAACATACAAGTGACATAAACACATATGACATTAACATTCAAATGACATTAACATACATATGATATAAACATACAAGTGACATAAACACAAATGACATTAACATTCAAATGACATTAACATACATTTGATGTTAATGGACATATGATGTTAACATGCAAATGACATCAACAAATTAACAACTATGACATAAACAGTCATATGACATAAACAGACATAAGGCATCAACTGACATATGACATACACTGATGTATGATATTCTCATACATATGACATTAACAGGAGTTTACTGAGCACTAGACTATGACATTAACAGTCATATGACATAAACAGGAGTTTACTGAACACTAGACTATGACATAAACATAGATATGACATTAACGGTCATATGTTATAAAAAGACTAACCCATCAGTTGACATATGAGATTCACATACATATGACATTAACAGGAGTTAACTGAACACTAGACTATGACATAAACATAGATATGACATTAACTGTCATATGATATAAAAAGACATAACCCATCAGTTGACTTATGACATTCACATAGATATGACCCATCAGTTGACTTATGACATTCACATAGATATGACATTAACAGGAGTTAACTGAACACTAGACTATGACATAAACATAGATATGACATTAACAGGAGTTAACTGAACACTAGACTATGACATAAACATAGATATGACATTAACAGTAATATGATATAAAAAGACATAACCCATCAGTTGACATATGACATTCACATACATATGACATTAACAGGAGGTTACTGAACACTGTACTGATATACAGGACAGTATGTATGCTAGCAGTCTCAAATAGATAGCATGATGAGAATTGTGTTGATTATGTATTCAATTGCATACAATGATATATATGGTCAGAAGATTGAGTGAGTGAGGAGGATTCAATTTGATAGCAGTCAACCCCGACTTTCCACACTTATTTGCATTGTAGTAAGATTGTTTGCGTTTGACTGGGTTCTGTGAGCTTCTGATATTGCTTTGGGAATAAAGCAATTTTATTTTGCAAGTCAATATCTTTGTGATAGGTTGGGGCTGAGTCAATAGCTGTGTGATAGTTGTGTGTCAAGTCTTTATCTCGCCAACCTCGCCTCCAAATCAGTTCTGGTGACCTTGATAGACATGACAGCTTGTCTTTAGTACGTTCAGACCAACCCAAGCTCAAAAATCTCATGAATATATTGATAGAGAATGTGACCAGAATAAGAGTAAGCAAGCCTGACTTTCCCTAAGGAATCGTCTGTGATGGATTGGTGTACATAGGGCTGTTATTCATTCAAATGTCAGCTGTTGTGGTGATTTGGCAGGATGTTGGCCTGTATTGGGCTTTCTCTGTCCCTTGTGTATTTCTTCATCCTTCCTCACTTTCTCATGACTATGCACAAGATTATCAATGACTGGGTTGTTTATTATGACCTGTTATATATATGGACTTGCCTGAAACATGGTGCCACATCTTAAATATTGCTTATGTGCATGACAATCACCGGTTACACATGATGTATACTGTATAGCTGGTAATATTTGTGGGTGATTTAATTTTGCTATATTACTGGTCATCAAAGATAGCAGGAAATTAAATACCCAGGGAACAAAATCTTTACAGAGATACCAATGTGTAGACATAAACAAATTCTAATCACCATGAAATAGCCTAAACTGGAACAACGCAAAACCAAACACCTGTACAGTATGGTGTACATTGAAATGCAGAATAACAGCATGACTTAGATGAATAAATTTAGAGAACACATGATGAAAAAAATTTGGTGAGCATGACAAAAAATAGAAACATTTTTTCAGTGAACAATGGTTTTATCTCTTTATGTGTACTTCATCGTTAAAGTGACTAATGGTGTAACTTTATATATGACTGACAGTAATGTTTTTTTTTTACAAAAAAATCTATTTCACATAATTATAACATATGAATTTCTTCAAAGGTTTCCTCTGGATTTCAACTTTCTAATGAGCCTTTTTCCCAAAGTTTGTTTCTTGCCCATAGTTTAAGTGGAAATTAAGCCCACCTATTGCTTGACTGTTAATTGTTTGCACCTGTTGTTTGTTTAATGTTGTTTTCCTTTAAATTTTTGCTATCTACTCTGTTAATTAGTGTTACCTTACGTTACTACCACAAAGAAGTTCCTGGCTTTGTGAAGTAGATTCCATTAGAATAGTCCACAGAGAAAATATATTCCCCTTTTGTAATATCTGCAAGGAAATAATCCCCATTTCCCCTAATTTATAGTTTTGTAAAATGTAGAGAAAATCTCCCTAGAATGGATGTCCATGTGTATGTAGTAGTTTATGTACAAGTTTTCAGGATGATACCTACCTCTTGTTTAAGAAGAAACAATTCCTGATATCTGGTGTACAAGAAGTTCACTCTAATATCAAATGTGTTTGTAAACCACCTGTGTAGACTTTAATTGAATACATTGCTTTGAGGACAGTTATTGCTACATTTTTTTTGTTTTTTGCAGGTCAGTAAAAATTGATGATGTATTTCTGAACAACTTTTACTGTACTTTTGACCTCTAATTATGAGAGAAAGTTGTTTATTTCCTTTTGGTAGATTGCTCCTAATCCTTACATGACAAAGAGTTATCAATTTGTTCTCTGTTTTGTTATTTTTCAGTTCCTCAAATTTGGATCAAAACAACAAATCTCCTTGTGGTAGTAGCAATAACTCAAGTGACTTCAAAATGGCAGGAAAACAGACATTGGGTGTCAGTAGTCAGTTTCCATCTCTAAACTCCCAGCAACGTATCGGGGGATCTCCAACAAAGGCACGAAATAAGGTGGCCCTCAAACCTGGCCGATCTCTGATGGACTGGATTCGTCTTGGCAACAGTGGCAAAGACCTGACAGGGGTAGGCCGCAAGGTGTTGGAGGTAACGCCTGAAGAGCTTGCCAAACATGCCACCACTGATGATGCATGGATAGCTCTGCGTGGTAGGTGGTACCAAGACTCATTTCAGTGGTGAATTAATAGAAATAAATGAGGATTCCACCAAGTGCGGCAATAGAATATGATGGAATTTGTCTGTAAATATTGATAGAAATGGGCTCATTTGTATATTAACCAGTGATCATATGATGTGATGTATTTTGAGAATATCTGGAGTATTTCAGGAAGAATAATTCACACTAAGGTGATTGCTATTCCAGGAAAAGTGTATAACATATCACCATACTTGGAATACCATCCAGGAGGAGAGGAAGAACTGATGAAGGGGGCAGGGATAGATGGTACACAGCTGTTTGATGAGGTAAGTTACAACTGGAGGGAATAAGGGATGGGGGCAGACAGTATGCTGCTGTTTGATGAGGTAAGTTACAACTGGAGGGAATAAGGGATGGGGACAGACAGTACGCTGCTGTTTGATGAGGTAAGTTACAACTGGAGGGAATAAGGGATGGGGGCAGACAGTACACAGCTGTTTGATGAGGTAAGTTACAACTGGAGGGAATAAGGGATGGGGACAGACAGTACGCTGCTGTTTGATGAGGTAAGTTACAACTGGAGGGAATAAGGGATGGGGACAGACAGCACACAGCTGTTTGATTAGGTAAGTTACAACTGGAGGGAATAAGGGATGGGGACAGACAGTATGCTGCTGTTTGATGAGGTAAGTTACAACTGGAGGGAATAAGGGATGGGGACAGAGAGTACACAGCTGTTTGATGAGGTAAGTTACAACTGGAGGGAATAAGGGATGGGGGCAGACAGTATGCTGCTGTTTGATGAGGTAAGTTACAACTGGAGGGAATAAGGGATGGGGACAGACAGCACGCTGCTGTTTGATGAGGTAAGTTACAACTGGAGGGAATAAGGGATGGGGACAGACAGTACACAGTTGTTCGATGAGATGAGTCACAACTGGAGGAAGTGGGAATAAGGAATGGGGAGAGACAGCACACAGCTGTTTGATGAGATGAGCAACGACTGAAAGCAATATGAATAAGGAATGAGGACAGAGAGTACAGGAAAAAATTGACAGATTCACATTTTCATCTAAAACAGTACATTGTTATTCATGATTCCTCAGAAAATGTGCTGATCCCACTTTGGAACACTACAAGTCTGACACATAAGCTACTTAAGAGATGGTCAGCTCTGATACCATCAATAGACAGATTGATTAATGGCTGGTGTGTTTTACACTGATACAACTCCTCAACTGTCAAAATCTACCGGGTTCTGCCTGGCAAACAGTACAATACAGACTGTAAAGAGAATTATTTGCGTATACTCTTAGTTTTATACTGTGTTCCATATTCATTACTAACTGACAGGGCAAGAAAACAGTCCCCAACTATTACTAACACTTGGGACTGCAGCCCAAACTGATACTACCACAGGAGACTACAGTCAGTCCCCAACTGATACTGCAACAGGGGCTTACAGTCAGTCCCTAACTGATACTACCCCTGGGGACTACAGTCAGTCTCCTACTGATACTTCCACAGGGGCCTAGAGTCAGTCCCCCACTGATACTTCCACAGGGGCCCACAGTCAGTCCCCCACTGATACTGCAACAGGAGCCTACAGTCAGTCCCCAGCTTATACTGCAACAGGAGCCTACAGTCAGTCCCCAACTGATACTTCCAAAGGGGCCTACTGTCAGTCCCCCACTGACACTGCAAGGGGGGCCTACAGTCAGTCACCAGCTTATACTGCAACAGGGGCCTTCAGTCAGTCCCCAGCTTATACTGCAACAGGAGCCTACAGTCAGTCCCCAGCTTATACTGCAACAGGGGTCAGTCCCCAGCTTATACTGCAACAGGGGCCTTCAGTCAGTCCCCAGCTTATACTGCAACAGGAGCCTACAGTCAGTCCCCAGCTTATACTGCAACAGGAGCCTACAGTCAGTCCCCAGCTTATACTGCAACAGGGGCCTACAGTCAGTCCCCAGCTTATAATGCAACAGGAGCCTACAGTCAGTCCCCAACTGATACTGCAGCAGGGGCCTATACTCAGTCCCCTACTGATACGACCACAGGGGCCTACTGTCAGTCCCCCACTGACACTGCAAGGGGGGCCTACAGTCAGTCCCCAACTGATACTGTAGCAGGGGCCTACAGTCAGTCCCCTACTGATACGACCACAGGGGCCTACTGTCAGTCCCCCACTTACACTGCAAGGGGGGCCTACAGTCAGTCCCCAGCTTATACTGCAACAGTGGCCTTTAGTAAGTCCCCTACTGATATGACCACAGGGGCCTACTGTCAGTCCCCCACTGACACTGCAAGGGGGGCCTACAGTCAGTCCCCAGCTTATACTGCAACAGGAGCCTACAGTCAGTCCCCAGCTTATACTGCAACAGGGGCCTACAGTCAGTGCCCACAGTAAAGTCTTGTGTTACAATGTGTCTGATCCTTAGGTTATTGTTCTTTGTATTAGGCTACACACTACATACAGTCTTGTGTTACAATGTGTCTAATCCTTTGGTTACTTTTATTTTCTGTGATGACTATATCACCATATTCTGCCTTTATTTTCCTCAGGTTCACAAGTGGGTTAATTATGAGTCCATGCTTGAAAAATGTTATGTTGGAAAATTGAAATCAACTCCCGTCCAAAAAAGGGGTAAGTATTATCTGTCACTGCTGTAATGATCTGACTGTCACTGTTGGTTGTAATGATCTGACTGTCACTGCTGTAATGATCTGACTGTCACTGCTGTAATGATCTGACTGTCACTGTTGGTTGTAATGATCTGACTTTCACTGCTGTAATGATCTGACTGTCACTGCTGTAATGATCTGACTGTCACTGCTGTAATGATCTGACTTTCACTGCTGTAATGATCTCACTGTCACTGCTGTAATGATCTGACTGTCACTGTTGGTTGTAATAATCTGACTGTCACTGCTGTAATGATCTGATTGTCACTGCTGTAATGATCTGACTGTCACTGCTGTAATGATCTGACTGTCACTGTTGGTTGTAATGATCTGACTGTCACTGTTGGTTGTAATGATCTGACTGTCACTGCTGTAATGATCTGACTGTCACTGCTGTAATGATCTGACTTTCACTGCTGTAATGATCTGACTGTCACTGCTGTAATGATCTGACTGTCACTGTTGGTTGTAATGATCTGACTGTCACTGCTGTAATGATCTGTCACTGCTGTAATGATCTCACTGTCACTGCTGTAATGATCTGACTGTCACTGCTGTAATGATCTGTCACTGCTGTAATGATCTGACTGTCACTGCTGTAATGATCTGACTGTCACTGTTGGTTGTAATGATCTGACTGTCACTGCTGTAATGATCTGTCACTGCTGTAATGATCTGTCACTGCTGTAATGATCTGACTGTCACTGTTGGTTGTAATGATTAGACTGTCACTGCTGTAAGGATCTGTCACTGCTGTAATGATCTGACTTTCACCATCTTAATATTATTGTGTTTTCTTGACAGGAAGCTTGTCATCCCTTCTTAGACTCAAACCTCCTAATGGTAAGTTTTCTTTGACATAGTGAGTATATTCTGGATTAAGTAAACTTCACATATGAAAGCATGTTTATATAGATTTTTATTCTGTACATAGATACTCATTATCTCCAGTTTAAATTAGAGTGTAGGTAATAGACATGTATTTTTCTTTCAGGTCCAGCACAGCCCTTGCCACCCATGGCACCTCCCTCTCCACCAGAGCCCAGCCCACCACGGTAAGTTATTCTGCCCTAGAGCCCAGCCATAAGTAACTTCCCTTCCACCAGTACCCAGCCCCCAGTCCCTCAGATTAAGTTACATTCAAACAGAGCATAGCTTTCAATTCCACAGGGAGCACATCCCCTGCTGCTTGAGTGATCCTGCAGCACATATCTGATGTTTGTAGATTTAGCCAATGATGTAACTGTTATCAATTAAAAGGTTTTAAGATTGACGCCTTAGAAATGTACCAGTTATTGTCCTGTTAATAGGTTTGACTGGTACCAGAATGATAACACTGTAACTCTTGTGGTGTACACCAAATGGAAAGAGATGAGGAAGGAAAATGTCATCATAGACAGAAACGGCCGTGACCTTACAGCCTGTGTGTATATTGAGGACCATACTTACACTCTTCATATAGGTAGGTATCCCTATATACATACATCTACGAAGATAACCATATACATCTAACTATATACATGTAGGTAACTAACCATATATATATAGGTAGCTAACCATATACATATAGGTAGCTAACCATATACATATAGGTAACTAACCATATAAATATATAGGTAGCTAACCATATACATATAGGTAACTAACCATATATATATAGGTAGCTAACCATATATATATATAGGTAGCTAACCATATACATATAGGTAGCTAGCCATAACCATATATATATAGGTAACTAACCATATACATATAGGTAACTAACCATATATATATATAGGTAACTAACCATATGTATATAGGTAGCTAACTAAACACATATAGGTAGCTTACCATATACATATAGGTAGCTTACCATACATATATATAGGTAGCTAACCATATATATAAAGGTAGCTAACCATATATATATAGGTAGCTAAACATATACATCTAGGTAACTAACCATATACATATTGGTAGCATACCATATATATATATATATAGGTAGCTAACCATACATATATATAGGTAGCTAACCATACATATATATAGGTAGCTAACCATATACATCTAGGTAACTAACCATATACATCTAGATACCTTACCATATACATATAGGTAGCTAACCATATACATCTAGGTAACTAACCATATCTAAAAGATACAAAGAAAAAGAGATCCAAGATCTGGGTAAATAGTTCCAATGTTTTGGTAGTCCTCCATTGATGGATTCCGAGTCCAGTTCAAGAAAGGAATCTAAGACGAAGGTAGAGATGTCTAGACAACATCCATTTATTAGTTGACATGTTTCAGCATACAAGGTGTGTCAAAACATGTCAACTTATAGATTTTGCTGATATCTTCAAACAGATGTTGTCCAGTCATCACTTCCTATATATAGGTAGATATCCATACATATATATATATATATAGGAGGTAACCATACATGTAGGTAGGTAACCATATATAGGTATAGGTAGGTAACTATAGATATAGGTAGGAAATCATATATATATATAGGTTGGTAACCAGATATATACAGGAAGGTAACTATAGATAGGTAGTACAACCCTTACACATTTACTTCCCAGCCACATCATACTTACCAAAGAAAAGGGTAATTATCCTGGGTTGTTTGTCTGTAGATTTTAGTAATATGATTACAGATCTTTCTGATTGACTGAAAAGCTAACCAGATCTGTATTTGATCCTAATTTGATGGGACTAATAGTCTGCCAGACTTCAACAAATCTGATTATCTAGTAAATAATCCTGAACTTAAGCTGAAGCCCAGAGACATTAAGGACACACTGTGGTGCGGGACTTAGATGATAATGTTTTCTTTGTGGAATATTTAGATATTTTGATTTTTTTGTAGAGAACTAAGATATATGTTTTCTGTGTGTGTAGAGGACTTAGACCTTGTGTTTTACGTGAAAAGAAATAGATATGGTTTTTTGTTGGAAGGACTTAGATATATCTGTTTTCTGTGTGAAGGACTTAGATATATATGTTTTCTGTGTGAAGGACTTAGATATATATGTTTTCTGTGTTGAAGATTTAGATATATCTGTTTTCTGTGTGAAGGACTTAGATATATATGTTTTCTGTGTGAAGGACTTAGATATATATGTTTTCTGTGTGAAGGACTTAGATATATATGTTTTCTGTGTGAAGGACTTAGATATATATGTTTTCTGTGTGAAGGACTTAGATATATATGTTTTCTGTGTGAAGGACTGTGTGAAGATATATATGTTTTCTGTGTGAAGGACTTAGATATATATGTTTTCTGTGTGAAGGACTTAGATATATATGTTTTCTGTGTGAAGGACTTAGATATATATGTTTTCTGTGTGAAGGACTTAGATATATATGTTTTCTGTGTGAAGGACTTAGATATATATGTTTTCTGTGTGAAGGACTTAGATATATATGTTTTCTGTGTGATATATATCTGTTTTCTGTGTGAAGGACTTAGATATATATGTTTTCTGTGTGTGTGAAGGACTTAGATATATATGTTTTCTGTGTGAAGGACTTATATATATATGTTTTCTGTGTGAAGGACTTAGATATATCTGTTTTCTGTGTGAAGGACTTAGATATATATGTTTTCTGTGTGAAGGACTTAGATATATATGTTTTCTGTGTGAAGGACTTAGATATATATGTTTTCTGTGTGAAGGACTTAGATATATATGTTTTCTGTGTGAAGGACTTAGATATATATGTTTTCTGTGTGAAGGACTTAGATATATATGTTTTCTGTGTGAAGGACTTAGATATATATGTTTTCTGTGTGAAGGACTTATATATATATGTTTTCTGTGTGAAGGACTTAGATATATCTGTTTTCTGTGTGAAGGACTTAGATATATATGTTTTCTGTGTGAAGGACTTAGATATATATGTTTTCTGTGTGAAGGACTTAGATATATATGTTTTCTGTGTGAAGGACTTAGATATATATGTTTTCTGTGTGAAGGACTTAGATATATATGTTTTCTGTGTGAAGGACTTAGATATATATGTTTTCTGTGTGAAGGACTTAGATATATATGTTTTCTGTGTGAAGGACTTAGATATATATGTTTTCTGTGTGAAGGACTTAGATATATATGTTTTCTGTGTGAAGGACTTAGATATATATGTTTTCTGTGTGAAGGACTTAGATATATATGTTTTCTGTGTGAAGGACTTAGATATATATGTTTTCTGTGTGAAGGACTTAGATATATATGTTTTCTGTGTGAAGGACTTAGATATATATGTTTTCTGTGTGAAGGACTTAGATATATATGTTTTCTGTGTGAAGGACTTAGATATATATGTTTTCTGTGTGAAGGACTTAGATATATATGTTTTCTGTGTGAAGGACTTAGATATATATGTTTTCTGTGTGAAGGACTTAGATATATATGTTTTCTGTGTGAAGGACTTAGATATGTATGTTTTCTGTGTGAAGGACTTAGATATATATGTTTTCTGTGTGAAGGACTTAGATATGTATGTTTTCTGTGTGAAGGACTTAGATATATCTGTTATCTGTGTGAAGGACTTAGATATATATGTTTTCTGTGTGAAGGACTTAGATATATATGTTTTCTGTGTGAAGGACTTAGATATGTATGTTTTCTGTCGGGAAGGACTTAGATATATATGTTTTCTGTGTGAAGGACTTAGATATATCTGTTTTCTGTGTGAAGGACTTAGATATATATGTTTTCTGTGTGAAGGACTTAGATATATATGTTTTCTGTGTGAAGGACTTAGATATATATGTTTTCTGTGTGAAGGACTTAGATATATATGTTTTCTGTGTGAAGGACTTAGATATATATGTTTTCTGTGTGAAGGACTTAGATATATATGTTTTCTGTGTGAAGGACTTAGATATATCTGTTTTCTGTGTGAAGGACTTAGATATATATGTTTTCTGTCGGGAAGGACTTAGATATATATGTTTTCTGTGTGAAGGACTTAGATATATATGTTTTCTGTGTGAAGGACTTAGATATATATGTTTTCTGTGTGAAGGACTTAGATATATATGTTTTCTGTGTGAAGGACTTAGATATATATGTTTTCTGTGTGAAGGACTTAGATATATATGTTTTCTGTGTGAAGGACTTAGATATATATGTTTTCTGTGTGAAGGACTTAGATATATATGTTTTCTGTGTGAAGGACTTAGATATATATGTTTTCTGTGTGAAGGACTTAGATATATATGTTTTCTGTGTGAAGGACTTAGATATATATGTTTTCTGTGTGAAGGACTTAGATATATATGTTTTCTGTGTGAAGGACTTAGATATATATGTTTTCTGTGTGAAGGACTTAGATATATATGTTTTCTGTGTGAAGGACTTAGATATATATGTTTTCTGTGTGAAGGACTTAGATATATATGTTTTCTGTGTGAAGGACTTAGATATATATGTTTTCTGTGTGAAGGACTTAGATATATATGTTTTCTGTGTGAAGGACTTAGATATATATGTTTTCTGTGTGAAGGACTTAGATATATATGTTTTATGTGTGAATGACTGTGTGAAGGACTTAGATATATATGTTTTCTGTGTTGAAGGACTTAGATATATCTGTTTTCTGTGTGAAGGACTTAGATATATCTGTTTTCTGTGTGAAGGACTTAGATATATATGTTTTCTGTCGGGAAGGACTTAGATATATATGTTTTCTGTGTGAAGGACTTAGATATATATGTTTTCTGTGTGAAGGACTTAGATATGTATGTTTTCTGTGTGAAGGACTTAGATATATATGTTTTCTGTGTGAAGGACTTAGATATATATGTTTTCTGTGTGAAGGACTTAGATATATATGTTTTCTGTGTGAAGGACTTAGATATATATGTTTTCTGTGTGAAGGACTTAGATATATATGTTTTCTGTGTGAAGGACTTAGATATATATGTTTTCTGTGTGAAGGACTTAGATATATATGTTTTCTGTGTGAAGGACTTAGATATATATGTTTTCTGTGTGAAGGACTTAGATATATATGTTTTCTGTTTTCTATATATGTTTTCTGTGTGAAGGACTTAGATATATATGTTTTCTGTGTGAAGGTTTTCTGTAGATATATATGTTTTCTGTGTGAAGGACTTAGATATATATGTTTTCTGTGTGAAGGACTTAGATATATATGTTTTCTGTGTGAAGGACTTAGATATATATGTTTTCTGTGTGAAGGACTTAGATATATATGTTTTCTGTGTGAAGGACTTAGATATATATGTTTTCTGTGTGAAGGACTTAGATATATATGTTTTCTGTGTGAAGGACTTAGATATATATGTTTTCTGTGTGAAGGACTTAGATATATATGTTTTCTGTGTGAAGGACTTAGATATATATGTTTTCTGTGTGAAGGACTTAGATATATATGTTTTCTGTGTGAAGGACTTAGATATATATGTTTTCTGTGTGAAGGACTTAGATATATCTGTTTTCT